TATGTGGGAGGTAGATCTAGCTGGCTACCTTTGAAGAGTAATAAGTAACCAGTTCACTTCTTACCATGTTTTAGTTTATGTGTATGAGTATTTTGCCTCCATGTATGTCCATCCACTGTGTGCATACAGTGCTCTACAGAAGCCAGAAGAAGAAGAAGATATCAGATCCCCTTGGACTGGAGTTACAGACAAATATGTGGGTGCTGAGAATTAATTGAACCTCGTTCCTCTGGAAGAGCAGCCAGTGTTCTTAACCACTGAGCCACTTCTATAGTATGCTAATTCTTTGTTTTTGTTTTTTTTTTTGTTTTGTTGTTTTTTGAGACAGAGTCTCTGTGTAGCCCTGGCTGTCCTGGAACTCGTGTAGACCAAGCTGGCCTCAAACTTACAGACATCTGCCTGTCTCCGCCTCCCAAGTGCTGGGATTAAAGGTGTGCACCACCATGTCTGGCTTTCTTTCTTTCTTTCTTTAAGTGGTAAAGAATTGAGCATTTACCTACCATTCTAGTGTAACCTGTACCAATGGTTAAGAAAACAGTTAAGTGGAGGGAACTACTACTTTATGAAAGTATCTTCATCAATAAATTAAAAAGAATTAGGCTCCCATCATCTACAATCTCAGTAAGTTCGTGGACATGGCTAGGGGAAGACACCACCATGAGATTCATGACACAGGTACACCATGAACCTGACCATACTTCAGAACGCAGCTACCGTCTACAGGAAACACAGACCAGAGACAAGAGGTGAACTGTACGACAGCTGTCCATCAGCAAGATTCAGACTGGGAAAGTCCACACGCTGAATGTTCTATGGTCTTCAGAGGGGAAAAATTAAAGAGAAGACAAATGCAGGATGTGATGGAAAGCATATCAGTAATGCCTTTGACAAACACGTCTGTAAATGAGCAAGATTCAACTCAAGGTATACCGCTAGGTGATGCTGCTGGAATGAAAGGCAAGGGAGAACTCACTTTACAAAGCAGCCCAGGGGTCACTCTGGGAACAGAACGGGTGTGATTAGCGTGACACACAGGGGCTGCTGGGGCCGGTAGCATCGCTAATCCCTCAGCTGGGTGACAGGCAAGTGCGCTCCATCTTAGGATAATGTAGTAACACATTTGAATCAGGTGGCTATCTGTATTTGTGTTTTATTGGACACCAAAAAAGAATAGGAAAATTCATACCACTAGGGCAAACTGGAATAAACAGAATACAATCCTGAAAACAACCACATAAAAATAAACACAGTTACTTATTTTTACCAGCTAATACAGCTTCAGCAAGCCCCCTACACCTGTTTTTTCCCTGAAAGCAAACTACTGCCAGGTGTTAAGGACATTCCAGAACTCAAATGAGCCCTTCTTTTGACTGGAGGCCTAAAGATGCATGAAAGGGGAGGGTACTGTGATTCCAGGTGACCTTCCACTGTCTCATCTACCTCCTAAAGTCAACCTAAATTCATCTCATGGACATCCCACATCCTGCCTTATGGAAATGTGAGGTTACTAAAGGTCTAGTGAGTAGAGATAAGTCAGGCTAATAAAGGAGATGGGACAAAGCTCTCCCGGACCATCAACAGACTTACTTTACTCACTCAACCCTTTCAAAACAGCCTTAAAAGGTTTATTTTTCCATTATAAGCATTTAAGCAAGAGGCCAACCCCGTAGCCAGGTGAGAGGTGCTTGTCCTCATCCTGGCTACGAGCACGCACACTTCACTATGACTCAGGGCACCTCTAGAGCCTGGCAATGCTCCATGTCTGCCTTCACACCTCATACATTAGCAGCCCCTAAGAGACACGGGGCCCT